ATTTCAACTTTGAGTATTTACAGTCACCTCTAATTCCCATGGCTCTGCACCTAAAAACTCACTATCTCTCTGTGATCTAGAATCAGCAAGGCACCTTCATTCCCCTTTGCCCAGTATATGTAAGGACAGCCGCTCCTCTTCATTGCTATGGCTGACACCCTGGTCCAGAACTTCATCATTTTACCATCGACATTAATTGAAGAGTGATTCTTTGTTTGGGGGGTGTAGCGTGGGGGGAGCTGTCCTGTGCATTGCGGGATATTTAGCAGCATCTCTGGCTTCTGTCCACTAGAGGCCAGTAGCATGCCCTCCCCTGAGGTGTGACAACCAAATGCCTGCAGACATTGTCAAATTTCCCCTGGGAGACAAAATCATCCACTGTTGAAAAGCACTTTAGACTGACAACCAAAGACCTCTGTTAAATGTTAATTCCTTAAATTTCTCCAATCCTTTTTTTAATTATTCCCAAATCCCTTCTGTCAGATTCAATCAAGAACATGTAATCCTTATTTTGCAATTTCCTTCACTCAAAGTACCCTTCCTCTCACACTCTTCCAGGCTGTTTGCTTATCCCTAGATAGAGTCACCCACAGCAGAAAGGCTTCTAGAATTAATTGTATACCTTCATATGATCACTGCATTTTGTTGACATCTTTTCTTCTCAGGACCCTTTGTGATCTTTCATTCTCTTCCTGTGGCCTAGATGCTGATATTCTTCAGTGTTCTATCCAGAGCCTTCACTTGTCCTCACTCTACATTCTACCAAGATTAGGTCTTCTATTCCCTTCACTTCAATCTGTAACAATGACCACCATCGCTCCTGCTCCAAACCTGTATCTCCAGGATGACCTACGTCCTGAATGGTTAACTGGTTTTTCCAACTAAGAACAAGACCCCTGAAGAAGAGCCTACAGGCCCCTCAAAGTCAATAGGTCCAAAAAAGTGCATTTTCTTCCCTGCCCAAAGTCTTCCTCCAATCTACTTTTTTAAATAAATTTTATTACAGTGCATCTGAATACTGAAAACAGGAACCTCAGAATCTCTCTTAACCATTTCAAATCACCTGCGTCCAAATCTATCCCCTCTCCCTCCCCATTGCTCTAACCAGACCAAGCCCATTCTACTGAAGCATCTGGGCCCCTCACCTCCAGTCTGTCCTTTCTCTGGCTAAGCCTCACCTGTCTCTCCCCCCTTTAAAACACCACCCTGCTCCTAGGTTTTGACAGCTTCCCATTGCCTATTATCGAAACTCTGTGTTGTGTGTTATATAGAATGTACACAACCAGGCCACAGCCTACCTTTCTAGTCTCCATTTGCCCTGTGCACATCCAACATTCCAGTCACACCAGTCCATTCACAATTCGCCAATGTGTTCCATGCATCTCTCACTCAGGCTCCTGTCAGAAAACTGAAACCGCACTAGGCATCTCAACAGAGAGAATTCATTAAAGGGAACAGTTGAACTGGTGTTTTGGAATTTGGAAATGAGAAGAGGACACTGAAGTCAGAGATAGTAGAAACTGTATAAGCAGGGAGCAGCACCACTCCTGGGCAGAGGGATCACAGGAAAGAGGATGGGTTATTAGAAACTGAAAGGACTGAGGGGAGACCCCACAGACATGGGGGGACATAATACTTAGCTGCTGCCTGGGACCTCTGAAACCTGGGCAGGGCCCCTTAGAGCTGAGCTTGAACCTCTAGGGAAGGAATGCTGCTGGGTTGGTGCAGGAACCTTCTAAGGGGAGGAGGGGGTGAGGAAATAAAGCTGGTCTGAATAAAGCTACACACTGGGACCAAATGCTGCTACTGGGGTGAAGGGCCATCATAGGGCAACACTCCCCTGTCGGTGGAAGCCGGAGACAACGTGCAGAAAGAAGGGTGCTTTTAGAGTTGAGAGACAATTGCTTAATAACCAGCACTCTGCACTTGCAAGTCTCTCTGTCTGTACTCATACAGCTTCCCCATCCATAATGCTCCTTCTACCAATATCTGCCTGGAGTGCACTATTGTTCAAATACAATCTCCTTCCTAGAATCTTTTCTAATCTTCCCCCATATAATTATTTACACCAGCATCTCAGTTCCCCTAGCATTTTGCAAATACTTCCTTTATAGTCTTTTTTTGTAGCACAGTTATTTCTGCATGTTCGTTTTATTTGTTTTCTGCCAAACTGTGAGCTCCTTTAGGGCAGGTACGACAGTACAATCGAGCGGGGTGCCCGGCACACGACAGATGTTGGCTGAGGTGGATGGAATTGATAAAGGCATGCTAATGAAATTATTATTAGATCATGTCTTGCCTATATTTTATCTTCCCAACCAGACTGGAACTCCATAAGAGCAGAGATCACGCTTTATCACTTTTTATCTGTTTGGTGTTTAGTAAAAGGCTTCATATGCTGAAGAAGAGCTCAGTGATATTTGTTAGCCACCTAGTTTATTCATTAAGCACCACAAATTTGGTTCAAAAAGACATGAAGATGAAGGATAAATTTATGAATAGCAAGTAAGATCTGTAGTTAGGTTCAGATGCGCCTCTAGCACGTGATTCCAACAGAATGCCGCACATAGCTGAAGTTCTGTGTTTGTTGAATAGCACAATCAGGAGACTAAATGTAAAAAGTCTTATAGCGAATTCTAAAGTAATGAAAATATATTCTAGATTTGATTTTTTCTGTTTATCTCTTACAGAAAAAAATTTGCTTCCCCAATCCATGATATTATGAATCCTGGGTTACATCTGTTCCTTGCCTAGTTATTGAATTTCTCACACTCACCAACATCAACTAGCAGATTATTTAAGTGTAGGAAAGGTATTGGATTTTAACTTAATCACCAGCTTCTTGGGAAAAAAAAAAAAAGAAAGGAAAAAGAAAGAAATCTCTGTTCAACAACTGATTTACGTTCAAGTCCAAGAAGAAAAATAGCTTTTTTTTAAGGGGAGCATTATCTAATTAACTATTGATTTCTTCTCAATTATCCAAGGCAAGCAATTATTGATATTGATAGAACAGATATTTCCCTACCTCTAGTGCCCAAATGGAAGGAAATATCCCATTCAGCAATCTGCTGCCTGGGACTAGAAATGCTAAGAATCTTTAACTTTAAATCGAAACAGTTAGTTGGATCTGTTTCTTCCATGTTACCCCAATTAAACAGATATTTCCTGAAGTGTAAGCAAAACAAAATGCTGAAAACCTGTGGATGCTTCTCAAATTAACAACAACCAGTTTTGACCATGAGTAGAACCACTCTACACTTGTAGATTTTTGCCTCCCAGCTACAGCTCTTGACATTTTTAACCATGACACATAAAATACTATAAATTGGGTCTAATATTCAAGATTTCTACCAACCAATGAGAGGCAGCTTATATAATCGTTAGAGCCCTCACAACACCACCTTGTATGTCAATATTTGGAGCCTGAAGGATTTAGTAGGCCTTAATAGTCACTTCTGACATTTGCAGACAGCAAGTGTGGGTATTTTTGAAAATTGTACCAATACATTATACCGCTGTCTTAGAGGTCGCCAAGGAGTTATTGTGGAAGACGGTAAAACGAGGCCCCGTTGAGGGCACTTTGTTATTAACTCTGTGAGTGTCCACTACCATCTTTCCTCAGCTCATTTGCACACAGGGCATTAGAACTTTTGTGTGTAGGAAGCGTCCATTGAAGGTGACATGACTACTGAACACAATTAATGGACAAGCAGCATTATTGAATTACTACTTGGGAGATTTTTTTTTTTAATGCTTTGAACTTGGTAGTAATACTGAGTGTGTTTGTGTGCATGTGTGTGTGTGTGTGTGTTTAATTCATGTGGTACCCCTGGGGAAATTTGACCATGACATTTTTTTAAAAATGAAAAATGTTATAATTTATAAAAATCTACTTTTTCTGCTCTGCCCCTACCCCCCCACCCCGCTCCAGAGTGGTTCTATATAATAAATGCTTAAGCAGCATATGTTGTTGGAAGTGTTCTTGGCTCTTTTACTCTTTGTTGTTATTTTAATTTCCCTGGGTCCTATTTAACATTCTGCTAAATCAGTGAAACCTTGATTATCTAAAAGAATAGGAGACATGGAATTAATGAGGATAACCAGAACTTTGAAATAAGTAATTATTAGAGATGAAAATTACATGACAGGGACCATGAATGAATTTTCGTATCTGGAATTGCTTGCTTGATTTATTCAAACCGATTCTATTAATTGACGGACATAGTGAAATTTTGGTAATCAGGGTCTCATCACTGCATTTTTTATCATTCCGGGAAATCAAGGTAACCTTGGACTCTACTACCTCCCGGATTTACAAGGCAGTGAATATCCCTAATAGGCTGTCAGGGGCAAATATGAGGGCTCATCCTCACTCTCCTCCCACTTTCTCTCTTCTGATCTGGCTGCCGCCTGCCTGGAGCATGCTGCCTGCCCCCTCCCCTCCCCCCTCCCCTCCCCTCTCTCCTCCTGCCTCCCCCGTAGGCTTTGTCTTCCCGCATGCTGCCGCTGGAATCACCTGCAGGGAGAATGGCCCACCCCTTTGAAGTTCTTGGTCCTTTTAGCCATACCGCTTTGCATTTTAACTACCATTCATCTGGCTTTAAAACTCGGCATTCTTGTATCAGGGCACTTGTCCTTTAAAAACGCAGGAGGTCCCAACAGGTCCCAGTCCTCTGAAGAGAAGATACTGCCAAACCAGGAGTATTCCCTTACTTTGTACTCGATAGCCTGACATGGACAATGATACTATCCAAGATCGCAGCAAAAATCTGTACGAAAAGGACAAATACGATTTAAAAAAACGAACAAACAAACAAAGGCAGCAAACTACATTTGTTTGGAAATTGGGAGTCGCGTGCTTAGTTTGTGGCGGGGAGGGGAGGGGGGCGGAAACACAGGATCCGTAGAGCTGTTTTTAAGCTGAAAACCTGCTGTACTAGATGCACTGAAATGGCTTCTGCTTCTCCTCCCCGCGCCCCGCCCCACCCCCCGCTCTGCAGCGAACGTCTGCGACAACGAGCTCCTGCACTGCCAGAACGGAGGGACGTGCTACAACAACGTGCGCTGCCTCTGCCCGGCCGCGTACACCGGCATCCTGTGCGAGAAGCTGCGGTGCGAGGAGGCGGGCAGCTGCGGCTCCGACTCCGGCCAGGGGGCGCCCGCGCCCGGCTCCCCCGCGCTGCTGCTGCTGACCGCGCTGCTGGGCACCGCCAGCCCCCTGCTGGTCTAGGCGCGCCGCCGGCCACCAGCCCGGCCCGGGCCCGCCGCCGCCGCGCGGGGTGGGGGGAGGGGGGGCAACGCGACCCGCAAGCATTCGCTGCGACCATAGGAAACACACCCTCAGACATCCCCACTCCGACACCGTGTACAAACTAAGAAGGCCTAACTGAACTAAGCCATATTGATCAGCCGTGGACAGCACATCCGAGTCAAGACTGTTCATTTCTGACTCCAGAGGCGTTGGCAGCTGTTGAGCCTATCACCGCAAATCAAATGGCCAGCTGCAGAGCTTATTGCCGCCTGGGAAGGCGCGACAGCCCCCCCCTCCCCGCCCCGACACAGGAAAGACAACAAACAAACAAATCAAGCAACCTACAACCGCTCGCTACTCTCCCGTGGGGTGCCCCAGCACCACTGGCCCAGTGTGTGGACCAACCAAACAGAAGCATTCTTTGCTGGCAGTGCACTGTGGGTATAAGGAAATCTGTTACAAGCTGCCATATTGGCCTGCTTCAGTCCCTGAACCCCTTCCAACCTGTGCTTTAGTGAACGTTGCTCTGTAACCCTTGTTGGTTGAAAGATTTCTTTGTCTGATGTTAGTAACGCACATGTGTAACAGCCCCCTCCAAAAGCTCAAGCCAGTCATCCCCCCTATATCTTAGCAGCACTGAAGTCATTCCCAGGGCGAGCACACATCCACTGTCCAAGAGTGGCTCTAGGAAAAAAGAAAGTGTATCTATCCTTTTGTATTCAAATGAAGTTATTTTTCTTGAAATACTGTAATACGTAGATTTTTTGTATTCTTGCCAATTTGTGTTACCAGACAATCTGTTAATGTATCTAATTCGAAGCAGCAAAGACTGACATTTTATTTTGTCCTCTTGCGTTCTGTTTTGTTTTCATTGTGCAGAGATTTCTCTGTAAGGGCAACGAACGTGCTGGCATCAAAGAATATCAGTTTACATATATAACAAGTGTAATAAGATTCCACCAAAGGACATTCTAAGTGTTTTCTTGTTGCTTTAACACTGGAAGATTTAAAGAATAAAAATTCCTGCGTAAATGATTTCAGGAATTTGTATTGCAATTTCTTAAGATGAAAGGAGCAGCCACCAAGCAGTTGCATACTCACTTTACTGGTTCCTCTGTGGACTGAATGCATTCAGCTGACGAATTTAGTACCCAGGAAGATGCATCGATGTTCACTAGCTTGGACAACTTCTGCAAAATATGAGACTATTTCCACTTGGGAAAAATTATAACAGCAAAAAAAAAAAAAAAAAAAAAAATCTAAGCGATTGCCAAGATCATGCCAAAGCCTGTTGGCAGAGTACTAAGAGACTTTAATTTTTAAGTCATGCTATTTTCACAGATTGATGTGATCATGTGACTCCAGGGATGGTGATCTGTGTATCTTTGCAAATACAGTGTTTACATGGAGTATCATGAGAGGCAACCTGGAGAACCAGGAAAGTGGCAGGGAAATTGAGTGATTAGCAATTTGATTGAATATCTACAGACTTAGTATTTAGAGGAAATAGCAACATATACAGCAGCAAGGAGACATAACTGCTGTTCCTGAGAATAAAGTTTGTTTTAAGTACCACCCGAGGTGTAATAAATTGTTTCTGCCTTTTAGCAGGCCAATGACTGCACCAGACAGCGAGGGCTGGGGTGGTACGGGGGGAGCCCTTGCAAAGTCTCAAAGTGGCTCAAAGAGTGTGCGTTCCGTTCCCAGCACGCTGTTGTCCCACGGCTTACAAATGTGTTAGCAGCAGGACCTGGAATCAAAAACAATCATCAGCCCAAGCCAGAGTCTTTCGGACAATGAAGTCCTTCATGACTTGGGAGAGCAATAATCCATGATAGTGTTAGGTTGGAAGCCTGCTCCCGGGCTGAATTCTTCACCCCACCATGGGGTGGGGGCCGGGGGCGGGGGTGTCTTCTGATAAATAACCTGGGCGAAAACTAGATGAAGGAACATCGTGTCTTATTGGTTTTGTTCCCAGAAAGGCCAATTCAAAACAGGCAATACAAGGTAAACAGGTAATGCCTGTGCTGCCTGCCACCCCACGTCTAAGTCGATTGAATATTTGTTATTCACACCAACAGTCTCTTTTGATGTAAGAAATAAGGAAAGATGGAAATAAATTCGAGCGCTGGTTTAGTGCCAAGGTGGCCAACCAGAAATTGGAGATTTACATTAGAAGCATAAACAGCAAATTATAGTTCAGACTCACCAAAGAATACACATGAAAATGCTGGTAACACACAGAGTTTGAGATTACTTATAATGAGGTGGATTTCTCATATTAAAATTGGAATTTAGGTTGTCTTATAGTTTATTAGCACAAACCAAAGGCAGACTGTGTTATTTCTAGCAACCATGCACTTTATCATTATCCACTCATGGCTTTGTCACAATGCTCAGGAATCAGACTCTGCACATTGCAATACATGGGATTCCAAAAGCTAATTCTAAAATTTAATGAAGTCTTGATCTAAATCAATTCATCTGCATTTTATCTTTATGAGGCTATAAGAATCTAAATTGATGAGGAATATCTTGCGTTCCATGTATTTAGATATAGTTTTCTGAATTTCCTGAAGTGATGTGATCTGCTTTTAATAAAAATTCACTTTTAGGTATATAACAAATGGAAATGAAATGTTCTTTTTAATCTGGATTCTCAAGTTCTTCTAAAGGGTTTATTCCTTTGAAGGAACCCCAACTCAGTGGATTTTTATTCATCTGCTGCTCTCCAGCATTCTTGCAAAGTGGGTTCCAGCTACCATATTATGTCTTTGAGAACAGGACTCGGCTGAAAAGTGGGGACTAAGCTGTTCACATACTTAAGGTCCCAATTCTTGCTTTGTCAACTTTCCCGCAGAGTAAAAATATAATTCATCCATCAGCATCATGAATGAGCATAAAACTGCAACAAAATTTTTGTCCAAAGGCTCAGGTATATACAAAGTATCACTATTTCTAAGACAGTAATTAGACTGCTCTGCTGTGATATGGAAGTGATTTATTCCTGACCATGTACCACCCTAGACGGAGCATTTTTTTTTTTTTAAGATTTTATTTATTTATTCATGAGAGACACACACAGAGAGAGAGAGAGAGGCAGAGGGAGAAGCAGGCTCCCAAGGAGCAGGGAGCCTGATGCGGGACTCGATCCCAGGACTCTGGGATCATGACCTGAGCCGAAGGCAGACGCTTAACCATCTGAGCCACCCAGGTGCCCTAGACGGAGCATTTCAGTCCCAGCAAAGAGGGGCCCTTGCTTAAAGGGACCCATTCGGACCCTCCTGTCACTTGGTATTAGTAGCTGGGAACCTAGTATTTCCTACCCAGATAGCCTCCAGCCACTTTAAGGGCATGCATGCACTCTCCTGGGGACCCAAAGTCCTAAAGGCAAACAGCATCGTGCATCATGACTGCAAATCCCTGGGCACAAGGGGTGGTCAACAGTGAGTCTGTGTGGATAGATTAGTGAATCGGCCCTGGCAGGCAGTGCACACTGGAGAATTCTCACAGGAGCGAGAAGAAGCCCCTTGCGGTGAAAACCAGAGCTCAGGAATGGAAGGAAAGGGGCTAAAGGTGGGAGGGAGAGACTAGGGCTACCTCAGGGCCAGGGTCCAGGACCCAGGACGGAAGGAACTCTGAGCAGGCTAAGGATTGTAAGTTGATACCTGGGTTTCCAATTCTTACAAAAGCATTTGTGTCAAAGTGGCAGATTGGAACGTATTTTATTCAACCCTGTGTTAGCTTGCCACGTAACTTTTAACTGCTTAGCCATATGGCACATGGGCTTCCACTGGTACTTTTGTCCTGGTCCCCACCTGGTGGATCTGCCTGGACGGAAACACTGCATGAGGCGCCCTTGAATTAAATCGCTAAGATGACACAAATCACTCACCCGGGTAACAGAAATGTGAGGGTTGGGGGGAAGGCATGGGCCACAGTTCAGCGGTTCCTGTTATGAATGCTCCGCCGCGCCTCTTCTCAGACTTGTGCTGTGGACAAGGAAGTTTGGGATGGACTGGGGGCAGCTGTGAGGAAACCCTGAAGCCAGATCTTTTGTCCCATTGCCTTCCCTCTCCACCATCAATAATCCAGTATTACTATAGGATGTAAAGACCCCATACTCTGATATGGGTGCTCTGTGCATTATGGGATATGGGTTTGTTGTACTTCACCTGTTGTTGAAGACTAAATAAAATACCTGTTCAACAGTTTCTCTGCTCACAAGCTTGCACAGAATCTGTGGGAACTTTGAAATACATGTTCTATATATTTGTTACATACGGGACTCTGTATCTTATGATCTGGTGCAGTTTTAAAGCTTCAGCTTCAGCAGTCTGAATAGAGTTCCTTCCCCACCATGTTTATTCCCGGTCTTTCTTGGTAAGGATGGGAATGGGGGCAGAAACCAAGCTACATGTTAGAACAATATGAATAACCAGGTAAAACTGTAGGATTTTTTTTTTTTTTTTGAAAATCCAATTGGACAGCCTTAATGGTATATAAGAATGAAAAATAGAGGTAAGGAACACCCCCAGAGTTTTGATCCAAATGTCTGGTTGTGAGCAATTCCTTCTTGGCCTCAGGAAAGCAGGACTAGATTCTAATCCATTTTCTGTCTGAGAAATATTGAATGTTGATCTGGCACAAATATTCCTACAGTTCTGACCAGTTCCATATAGAAGAGTTTTCCCCTTTTAACTACATTTCCACTTTTTTACACTAAAGTTTTCCCCTTTAGTTACCTAAAACAGATGCCGAGGAATTCCTAGCATAAACTACACATAAACATAATATGATGTCAGAAAGAATTAAGAATGCCAACCATCACATTTTGAATTTTCACCAAAATCTTGGGAACATGGAGCACTTTTACTCTCCACGACACCTGGGAAGGTGTGACTCACATACTATCTTCATTTTGCATCTGAAGAATCAAGTAACTAAGAAACAGATATATGCCTTGTAAAAATTATATT